ACCAAAGCTCCACCATACTTCAAGGGTGACAACACAGATCTATTTCCCATCAGTGAATGGGAGGACATGATGAGATGTTATCTGCACAGAATCAGCTGTGACACAGATGAAGAAATGTTTGCCATATTAATGTCTAGACTGACTGGCAAAGCCAGAGATGTGGTCAAGGTGTCACTTCGTTGCCGCCCTGAGTTGAATCGGAATGATCCTATTACTGCTGTGTTTGACATACTGAGGTCTAACTTCAGCGACTTGACATATTCCAGCCTGCCCATGAAAGATTTCTACAGTACTGTGCCACGTCCAGGTGAGAACGCCATGGATTACTGGATCCGGTTGAACAAGTCTATTGACGCTGCTGATGAGTGTCTCCGCAGGCGCGGCAAGCTGGTAGAGGACCCCAGTAGTGAGGTTGTTTCGATGTTCATTAATCACTGTCCTGACCACAGTCTTGCGTTGTCTTTTCAACTGAAGGCTCCTGAGGAGTGGACTGCAGCTGAGGTTCAGAGCCGTCTGGACAACTATGTGAGGACAACTGAAGGCTCCTGAGGAGTGGACTGCAGCTGAGGTTCAGAGCCGTCTGGACAACTATGTGAGGAAAATGAGACAGTCTAGTGTTTTGTCTCATAATACAGCATGTCTGTCCATCCCACATCAGAGCCCTGTTGCTGTTAACAGCCAGCCCCACTCCAGCGGTGCTCAAGCAGTCCCAGTAACACATGAGCCAGCCTCGTATCCTATGCCCTCTGTTCCCTCTGCAGCCACATGTCAGCCTCTCTCTTCTGATGGCATGGTAAGTGTGCAGCAGCCCTCTACTTGTCCTCCTTTGACTCCTCATGTCATGCCCCCATCTTTGCCAGTTTCCGGCCCTCCTCCAGCTGAGCCAGGTGTTCAACAGATGGTAGCACTGTTTGACAAGGTTCTGTCCATGTGCACTGCATCACTAGACACTGGTCCTCAGGTGCCCACAACCCACAGGTCATTCCCATGGGCACCGCAGTGCTCACCGTGCTTCGTGCAGAGTGTGTGGCTCACATGAACACACAACCCATGTGCATTGTAGGCTGTTCAAGCTATGCCACAGCTGCTTTGACCCTGGACACATGAGGCGTGAAAACCATGGTGGTTTTCTATTGATACAGTCTTAGTTCAAGCAGTAGGATCAAAGCCATTCCTTTGATCCTGACCACCTCTCCAACCACTTCTATTTGCCCAGGGAGGTAAGTTCGATCTTGTTGGTCGCTACTTATATACCTCCATCTAGCAACAACAGCGATAGAAATGCGGCGCTGAACGAACTGTATCAGGCCATCAGTGAGCAACAAACAGCACACCCAGACGGTTTCATCATCCTCGCAGGAGACTTTAATCATGCTGATCTTAAAACTGTTCTCCCAAAGTTTCATCAGCATGTACATTTTCCAACAAGGGGAGACAACATATTGGACTTGGTCTACACACAGGAAAATGGAGCATACAAAGCCATCCCCCTCCCCCATATCGGCACCTCTGATCACCTCACTGTTATGCTAATGCCAGCATACAGACAGAGAGTGAAGGTCATCAAACCTGTTATGAAAGAGGTAAGAGTGTGGCCACAGGAGGCCACCTCTGCTCTTCAAGACTGCTTTGGGTCAACTGATTGGGACATATTCAAGGAAGCAGCCACCTACAATAACATCATAGACATCGAGGAGTACACAGACACGGTGAGCTCATACATCACCAAATGCATTGATGATGTAACACAAGTGAAAAGTATCACAACTCGAGCCAACCGGAAGCCATGGCTAACAGGAGATGTCCACAGGCTGCTGAAGGCCAGAGACAAGGCCTTCAGAGCTGGGGATGAAATAGGCCTGAGAACAGCGAGAGCCAACCTGTCCCGTGGCATCAGGAAAGCGAAAGATACAGAAGTCTCCGCTCCCGCACTACCAGGCTCACCAACAGCTTCATCCACCAGGCTGTGAGACTGCTGAACTCTCTTCCCTCCCGGCTCCCAGCCAGCAGAATCACCAGATTGGCAGAAGTATAGGAAGACAGATTGGACTCTTTCCTCATCGTACCTTCTCATGTGTATAAGTCTCGCTGCGTTTTTAGTTTCAAGTGTTAGCACCTCATTTCTAGTTTCCTGGTGTTTGAGTTTTCATTTCTCAGTGTTTTTGTTTCTAGTTTCCATTTTTCTAGGTTTGTTTTTGTGAGCTTATGTTTTGTAAAAATTTTCACAGCAATAAAGCTGCTGCCTTAAGTTAATCTTTTGTGTTCGAGTTCTGCATTTGGATCCACCTCCTGCCTGCCTGCCACAGCCCCAGGAATACTAGCAACCACTCTTGTGGAAGCTAAATTCAAATTCAAATTCAAATTCAAATTTTATTTTTCACGTACACAGTCATACACAGTACGATATGTAGTGAAATGCTTGGACAACTGCTCGTGACCTAAAGAAAACAAAAAAGGAAAGGGCTATGAATAAGATAGGAAATAAATATGAAAAATTAAAAAGGGTAAATTTAACTAGGAAGGAATAAAATATAAATTAAGGTTAAAAATGAAATAACTGTACAACACAAATGTGGAGGTTTTTAAACTCTTTAACGGTAGGAAGGAATACATTAAAATATATAATTAATGCCGTGTTTTAAAAGTATGAAACCTAAACCTCTGTTGATTACAACACAATAGATAGTTATAGAAATCTCTCCTTTTTGTTGTATATCGCTCAGCGATCTGATGCAAGCTGATGATGGTAAATATGCTAAGCAAAAACATTTAAACTCTATGGCTGGGAAAAAATAACGGACGCGTTAACGAAGGTCTTTGATCGAATATAATCGTAAACAAGTGATGTGAGAAAATAAAAGTAGACCAAACCTGTACAACAACAATACACCAATTAATTTAGATACATATCATTGATTGCTCTAAACGAAATGTATGGAAGAGAGATATAAATAAATAATATACTATCAGAGCCTAATCCAAAGCACCATCACAAAGATTAACCAATGCCAGCACGACTTAATATGAAGGCTGGAATGGGTTTCATGTGCCGAGGTTGATTCTGCTGTATATATAGTTAAACATAACAATAAACAATCATTTAGGCGTGGAATCTGGCCTGCGGCTCTATTGCACATTACTAATCGTTCTGAACGTTAGGATATAAATCCTCTAGCTTCTATAGTTTTCCCGCATAACCCCAATAAAAAACATCAAAAATAAAAACTCATTGAACTGTCTAACCCTTCAGAAAGTTATAACTCTCCGTCGCCCTAATCAAGCTGATTCCGAGACACCCCCATCAGAAAGATCGTGTGATTTAGTGCATCATGACATTGAAAGAACACACTACTTCTCTAGCCTCTAATCAATGAGTTATACTCGCGCTTGATATACCTGTCCCATTAGTTTTTAGAAATATTGTGAGTGTGAAGAATTAATCCCAACAGGCGATAAGAATGCATAAGGGCTTGAAAATAGAGAGCTGATCTTAACCCCACTCCCCCTGCCCTCGGTACCTTGCTACATGCTAAAAGTATTAATATCTATGTACATCTGCAAGTATCCCTAAGTCTATCTTCTTAATTGACCACCGAGTGTACCTCAGGATCGGTCCGAACTCCACGGCTAACAACATCCAAACTTTGCTTTAACCAGATTCAGTTTATGTCCAAAAAAAGCCACAAACACAATGCATGTAAAACTGAGTCCGAGAAAGGTGTCTCTCTAATCCTTTTAAAAACTATACATCGAAAACGCAACATTTCTGATTAGTGCGCGCATGATACCCTGCCAGATTCCGTGTCTCTTACAACAACGTTGAAAAGGAGTTTGTGGATGCTGCCAAAGCCATGGATTATGTCAAGGAAAATATACTCTCTCCAGCAGATGGGAGGGATCTATAACTGTCTTATCTTCTGTCCCAAGGTGGAAGGTAACTCAGAGTTCTCTATGTCAGTAAGCTACATCACTGTGCCTGGTCGTAACTACGTTGTGCAGAGCCTGAGTTCCAATAGTGTTTTAGCAGACAGCACTGAGATTTATTAGTGGTTCTGAGACTGCTCGCCCAGCAATTTTCCCCGAACTTCAGTTCATCATTACATATGAAGACATCTAAACTTGAGTTAGCTGCACTCGGGGTCCCTTTGACTTTCTGTCCTGCTGTTGTTACCCCTGTTCAGGTCCCTTGTTCTCCCGGGGATCTTTTGTGGGTAAAAAACTTGTACAATGTAGTTTATATATTAGTTTCTAGTTTGTTGGTTTGATGGTTCTTTTTGTATTGTCCTATGCTAAGCAAAACTTTGGGTCATCATGGAGTGCAAAATTATTTGTGCCTCTCAGATATCTTTCAAACGTAACCCTAAACAGTCAAGATAGATTTACTTAAAGTCATAAGCTATAATGTCAATGGCCTCCACAGCCCTATCAAAAGGAAAAAAATTCTAGGCCAGTTAAAAAGTTTCAATTGTCATATAGCTTTTTTGCAGGAGACGCATTTATCTGACATTGAGCATGACAAGCTAAAAAGGTCGTGGGCACAACAAGTGTTTTATTCATCTCACAAGTCTGGCAGGAAAAGAGGTGTGGCTATCCTAGTACATAGACAGATAAACTTCACCCCACTCACTACATACTGTATAGAGACCCACATGGTAGGTACATTGTGGTCAACGGCTCTATTGATGGAGTACTGGTTTCCCTCATCAATATCTATGCCCCTAATGAGGATGAGCCAAATTTCATACATACAATTTCTAATCTAGTACTTCAAAAGTGTTCTGGTGTGTTATTGCTAGGAGGGGATTTTAATTGTGTCTTGTCTCCTTATTTGGATAAACAACCAAGTTCTAAAAGCCATGCATCGCAAATGAGCAAAGCTCTAAAACATTTAACAACTGAACTGGGACTAATTGATGTCTGGAGAAATAGGTTTCCTAGAGTCAGAGATTATACTTTTTACTCGCATAGACATGCATCCTACTCCAGGATAGATTTCTTTTTTACTTCTAAAACAGAAGAGCATAGAATTGACAATATTGAAATCTTACCAATTACACTATCTGACCATGCACCGTTATCACTTTCATGGGACCTAGGATTGACACCAAGACTAAAACTTTGGCGATTAAATGCCTCACTCCTAAATGATAGCCAGTTTTGTGAGTTCATACATACTGAACTAAATACTTACTTGGAGTTAAACACAACTCCGGAGATATCGCCTTTAACTCTCTGGGATTGCGCCAAGGCATACATTAGAGGTCGCATAATATCATTTGCAAGTGCCAGGAAAAAAAGAAAAGAGGCTAGGCGGCGTGAATTGGAGGCCAAAATAAAATACCTAGAGCAACAACACAAAAAAGCACAGACAGCCAATTTGCTTTCCAATCTTAAAATGTTACGTAGTGAGCTTGATAGTTTATTAAACGAGAAAATTGAGGGCAATTTAAGATTCATTAAACAAAGTACTATGAACAGGGTAGCAGGGCTAGTAGATTGCTGGCAATAAGACTCAGGAAACAGCAAACTTGTAACATGGTCCAAAAGTTGAAGTCAGATCAAACCCTGATTACTAAACCAAATCAAATTGCAAGTTGCTTTGCCAATTTTTTCGAGTCATTATATAAAAATTCAGATACATGTAAAGATGACAATACACTATCTGATTTCTTAGAAAAGATCAATTTAAAAACACTGCCAGA